TTTGCCTAAACACATCTTTGATACATCTAAATCATCCACAATACCTCATTCACGAGATTTGAATACTCCAAACCATACTCGACGTTGCCTTCGACTTCGACGTGAAAGGTTAATAGTTCTGAGGGTTTGGTCCCAAATCTATATTTCAATTCATATTTTGATTTATTTACTTTATTGATATAATTTTTCTTGAAGTTTACTGACGTGTGTATTGTTTTAATAGCAAGAAGGTTGAGGCATCAAAGTGAGTAATTCAATCATCCTTTTTGTTATTCTTTGATTTTGGAGTAGAAATCATGTTTTCAATGTTATTTTAATTCCTAGTATCATGTTAGGATGTCTTTATGATTTCTAGTATCATGTTTAGGATGCTTATTATTATTTCTAGTATATTGTTTAGGATAACGCTTTGTTATTAGTGACATGCTAGGATTTATTATTAATCTGTTTAGTATCATACCTAGGATCTTACTATTAATGATGTTTTGATGAAGTTATTATGATGATGATTGTTGTGTCAATTAAACGTTGCTTGATTATTCATAATTTATTGCTATTGCTTGATCACGCCCCTTTTTGCAGGTTTAAAGGGAATTTGTACTTGAAATCACGTCTAATAAGATAATTAATAATTTGATTTAGGCTTAATATGATTTTAATTCAAGTGATCATCAATAATAGACTTGATTTGTGCATTAATAATCAATCGATGTCGATTAAATAGGTTTAAGGTTAACTTGATGTATGTATGTTGATTGAAAAGCGCACATGAATATCATAAGGATTGAGTAGAGGCCTATTAAGGGCGGGTTCAATCTATTTTAGGTTGAATTTGTACCATCATCCCCAAAAAATCCAGTAATGGTTCCGGACCACAATGGAGTTAGCGATCTTCGTGATCGTGAATGGGGTGTAACCTTCACACCTGTGAATGGTTTACAAGTTCTTAAAACTTGTTGGTGACTCTTTTATCTCTAGCTTCTTTTCCTTGGAATGCCGCCATGCCTAAAATCATGAACCATAGTAGGGCTCAAAGTTGAGTTTGAAAAATTCCCTACAGTGGTCGATGCTTGGATTTCTCCTCTTTTTCACTGTGTCCCTCTGCCTTATCGTCAGTCGTCTCCAAATCCCCTTTGTCTCGTGATGAACCGGAGTCTAGATCCTCCCCCCTTGTTTGATTTGAAGAGTTTAAATTTTTTATTTGGTTGAGATTTGGTTGTTTTGATTTGAAATTAAGGTATAGTTTGATTGTGGTTCTAGTTATGAAGATGCAATTTTTTACTGTTTTGGTTGTGTTGATTATTTTGTTGCTCAGATTAGTGTGGTTATTTTGTGATGAGCTTGATGATTATGGTGAACATGTTGTTAATTGATTGATTTATATTTATTTGCTTAATTTATTAGCTCCCAATATTTTTATATCCGCTAGCTACTAGTATATATGGAGTCACACCCAATATTTGATGGTTGATCAGCTTGTGTGTATGGTTGCAGAGTGTATGAATGTTATATGTTCTCTGATAAATAGTTAGTCATGTCAAAACGATGCTACTAAAACATTAACTTCTGAAGGAAGATAATAGTCCTTTCAACATTTCTTAGGTTGCTCTAGCTGAGGCGGGGGCCGGGGGCTTAGGGAGAGCTTTGGAGGAGATCTCTGTAAAGCATATAAGCTGAATTATCTATAGTTTTCTCTAGTTTCATTCTTTTATTTATATCTAGTATAATCCACATAATTTGGAAGTTTTGTTTGATGGAGATGGTTTCCTTGATTGTAAATATGTAACTAAGCTCAAACACCCCACTACATGGATCCTGGTGAGTAACTCTCTTTTAATATAGCATGTATATTAAAATCTATTATACTATACATGAAATAGCCGTAAATTTAAAATATGTGTCATCATGGATAAATTATAACTTTAGTGAAGTGGTAGTGGCACTACCACAAGGGATGAAAGCGCCCTGTTTGATGCTAATGCTATCTTTGAAATGGGTGTAGCCTTTCCTGTAAATTGTCTAATAATATTTCTTGGACTATGATAGTTCAAAAAAAGAAAACTAATTTTGTAACAACAACACATTAAATTTGAAACCATAGAACATACCATATTCATAAGAGTTTGATATCAAAGATAGCCCAACTATATATCAAGGTAGCTAAGCCAATTTTGGCTCTTTGTTTGTGTTGAACTAATTTCATACATGGTGAAGTTAATTTGAGCTATAGAGTTGGTGGATTGATTGTTATGATAATTGATTGCTCTTTGTTCTTGGTGTGTTAGTTGTGGTTCTATGTATTAGGATGAATTTTTAGAGTTGCTCTTTGTTTCCTTTGCTTTAGTTCCTATTTTAGTCTTCTTATTTAGTTTCTTGAATTTTGTAGAGTTGGTTTGATTGTGAATTTGATTTTTGTTTATGCTATTTATATGATTAGAGTGTGAATTAGAAGGGGCAATGGGTGATTAATCACTTCCTAAATTGTCCCAAATTTTATTTTTCCATACCCTAAATCCATAAACTAATTATTTAAGGAGCAATCCAAAACCCTTCTTGATGACAATTTTAAAATGGGTATATAGTCAAGGATTTTCCATTTGTATGCCTTTTACTGTAGTCTTTAGCAGTAGTTGTTACATTTCTTTTTCCAATGTTTGAATTTATATTGGTTACATCTCCAATGTTCTATGTGTTACCTGAATAAATGCATTGACAAGGTACGACAATATGGTCCCTTGCCATATTTTTTGGCTGCAACATTTGAGGCTAGGTAGTTCTATTCTCTACATTACTTCCTGCATGTTACATTTCAGATAATTCTCCTCACTTTTTATTTTATGAAGGTACAAGTTATGCTAAAATGACTAATGTTTTGAGTAGATTCCAGTTGCACCAAACTTGTATTGGAAATTTGGTATCACCTCTTAGGCTACTAGAACTTGAATTGGTAGTATGAGTTTCTTTATTGATATGATGCAATAGCAATGATCATATTGATAAACATGGTGTTGGTTAACTGATTTGGCTGGATATTTGCTTTTGCATGTGGATTCTACAATTCGGTGAAATTTGCAGAAATTTTTTTCTTTCCTATGAATTTAAATCAGAAATGTGTATTCTTGGGGTTTCGGTTGTTAGAAATTGGGATGATTTCCTTATATACTTGTACTTTAGAGGTATTTGAGGTTATGATTGAAATCTTATTATACAATTTAGTTGATTTAGGCTCAAAGTAAATTAATGACCTCTAGTAAATTCACTATGTGATGAATTTTTTCTTTTTCTTTTTTTGGTTTTTTTTTTTTTTTTTTTTTTTTTTTTTTGAGGAAAACACTATGTGCTGGCTTAAGTGGTGAGTTTAGGAATTAATATCTTGATTTATGAGCTCTCTAACTTGGTAGGATATAGGAGGGCTTGCCAAGACTAGTTCCACACTTCCACCCTTTTAAAAAACATGTTCATGTTCATAGTGTTGTTCATTTATTCGTCAATCCATTGATAATTTCAAATTTCAATGGGATACATGTACATGTTCATGTTTTTTTTTTTTAAATGGTTAACTTATTTTGTCTGCTCTGTTTCCAGATAGTTCGTTAAATTTATTTATTTTTTTCTGATTGCGGATAGTTATGTGAAGGCTAGAACATGTATTTCTGGGTGTATAATTCATGAGATGTCAAATAAGGTATCAAACTGAAACTGTTATTACTTACCATGCTCTCTTTTTTACTCCCCCTTTTTTTTTATCCCATATAATTTAACTCTGCTGTCTTTGCACAAACAAATGCTCCTGTTGACTTCTTTATGGTTGGGCATTCTAGCGTATACTCTATACTACGTATTTTTTTCTAACATATTTACCATAATTTTTTAGTGTTGGATGGTTCAACACTTCAACGTGTTCTGTATGAAGTTTTCGCTGCTGCTTTGCTGGATAGTGCTGCTGTTGAATGCTGCTACTCTTATTGTACTTAAGCTGTTGTAAATTTTGTTTGTCTTATTTTTGGATGAAAAGTGTAAATATTACCTAGTTATTAATGAAAAAAGACAAAAAAAAAAAAAAAAAAAAATTATTTTTTTCAGGTGTTTTGGGCACCGATTAACCGGTGCCAATGATTGGAAATAGTAAAAAAATAATAAATAAAAATAAAAAAAATATCTATTTTTCACTTACTAGCATCGGTTATCCGCTGCTAATAACCCTTATGTGCACCGGTTAACCGATGCTCTTAAGGATTATTACCACCGGTTTTGAACCGGTGCGAATAATCTCACTTATTCGCACCCCTCAAATCTAAACCGGTTCAAAATCGGTGCGAAAAGTCGGTTTTGAACTTTTTCTACTAGTGATGAAATTAAATATATAAATTACAAATAATATATCACCTTTATCTTCAATAATATAATTTCAATGGAAATAAATACTACTCGGATCATTAAAGGCGATTATAATCAACAATTAGGCAACACTAACCTATACTTCCTCCGTTCTAGTAATATAGCAACAATTGGACTTTTGCACGACCACAAATTATGATTTATACGTAAAATAAAATATAGTCATGTGGAGTTTGTTACACTAGAGGAAAAAGATAAAAAGGCACCGGTTCAAACCCCCCCTTTGGCACCAGTTCAAAACCGATGCCAACTAAAGCATCTAGCACCGGTTAACCGGTGCTAACTACATGATTTGGCACCGGTTAACCGGTGCTAACTACATGCTTTGGCACCGATTAACCGGTGCCAACTACCATGGCACGATTTTTTTTATTTTTTATTTTCAATACTATTGGCACAGGTTCAAAGCAAGAACCGGTGCAAAAAACCCCACTTTAGGCACCGATTCTTGCTTTGAACCGGTGCCAAAAGTCTCAAAAAAAAAAATTTAAAAAAACTTTTGGCACTGATTCTGTTCCAAACCGGTGCCAAAAATACCCCAAAAAAATAAAAAAAATAATTTTTACATTTTTTTCACTTAAATTGATATAGAAACATTAACATATATATAAAGTTACATATTTTCATTAAAAAAGGCTGTAATATTACAATTTTCATCCAAAAAAAATTAAATAATCCAGACTTATCTCTAATCGACCTTTCTTGCATTTCATTTAACTAGCTGTCCTGGTCTTGTGCTGGTGGCTGCTCTGCTGGCTGGCTGTGGCTGTTTTTCTGCTCTGATGGTTGTGGCTGTTCTGCTTCTGTGGCTGTGTTTCTGCTCTGTTTAAGCTGGCTGGGTGATTGGTTTTGCTTCTGTTCAGGCAGGCTGTCTTGTGCTGGTGGCTGCTCTGCTGGCTGATGTGTTGTTGCGTGTTCAGGCTAACCTGCTGCTCTGCTATTTGCTGTGCTGCTGTTTCTATTCTGCTGCTCTGCTGTGCCAAAAATAGAACTTCCTCTTCATTTTCTTAACAGCAACCTGTAAAAAAACATTCATAGTCCTACACTCATAACAAATCAAATGATATCTTGAACCAATTCTTACTAGTAATTCTCTCCCGCATATCCAATTCTTACTAAGAAATAAGGATCCCAAATGGCCACATGTCAACCTTTTTAAGAAAAGTGGCATTCCTTTCCCAACTTTAGACAATGAGATCATAGCAATAGAGATTGCTATCATATGCACACGTAAACACTTGGATGGGGGTAAAGAGAAAGCTAAAAATACCTCCCAAGGTGGGGGTTGTGAGAAGCTGAAATTCACTTTTGATTGGATAGCAAGCTTAACATCAACGCAGTCAATTGAGGCTTTGCCAGCATGTTCAGAGTAAACTTGTGCATCCGTTAAGACATCGACAGCATACCTGTACCACAACTCCAGAAACTGGTGCACAACACGGGGCTCATGCTCCTCAACACCCAAGGATTTAATCAATGACTTCACAATTTTCGCATCCCTGGGCAAGTCTTCCTCTCCCTCAGCCATGAATCTCCAAACCTGCAACACCACCCAATGTGCATTGTGTATTGAGATACATTATTATTCATTAACCATGAAAGCTCAGATGAAAGAAAGTAAGACAGCTTAAAATAGAAGTGTACTCATAATTTTTTTAATCACCAGTAATTCCCCAATATCATACTTGTATATAAACACGACACAACAACCAAAGCTTTGAGCCACAGGGTCAAGTTGTTCACATAATTTCTAAAATCAGAAACATGTAAGATTCCAGAATTAGGATAACAATTAAGCACTATAATATAGTACTAACAAGAAGATGATTTAGAGCTTTCTCAGACAAGTCCATAATTCCTTAACTGATTACAAAACCCATGATAATCCCTAAATTTTTCGGCAGAGCAATTCTATAAAAAAAGATTGTCCAACCAAGTAAACTATAGCCAATTCATCTTCAGAATTTGTTGCTCTTCCTTTGCTGTGCTTAAGCACTCAACAGTTTTGCTAAAGGCAAAACGTACAAAAAAAAAAATTAACAAAGTGAGTAAATACATGAACAATAATCAAAGATGAATTCCAATAGTCTGATCAATAAATGGAGATCAGTATTAACAGTTGTGTTTCGAAACTCTTGTGCATTACAAATGACAGTATGGAAATAACCTTCTGGAAAGGAAATGAGATTTGCATAGTTTATGAGAACAGTTCAAGGTAGATTGTCCCATCCCCAAATGCAGTAGTCAATAAAAAGGCGAGATAGAGCCATCCAAGCAGAACCTACATACAATTACACCCACTGTCACAATGGAGATCTACACTCTTCACCAAAATTAATAAGAGAGGTGGTAAAAGAGTTGCTCTAACATATTGTAGTTTTGAATAAGAACAAATGTCCTTAGACATGATTAAATAAGAGTAAAAAACTCTGAACACAGAAGAACTGACAAAACCATAATATCTTTTTTTGTCCCCAACCCCTTTAGGTTTTATTTTTATTTTTTAAGGGTTATTAAAGAGAGGGGTGGCACCTGCATAATGTGAAGCATATTACTGCTTTAATGCCAACCGATCTATTGAAAGAGGGTAGCACCACCGCATCATAGCCAACAACCAAAGTGTAAACTTGATAGGCATCATACTTAGTTCCAAAATATGACCATTTTCAAAGTCATAATAATCTAATACTTCTAAACTGACTTCCAATAGCTCAACAGTTTCACGAGAGTTATGAAGCAGCATTAGTGAAATAGTACTGCACCATACTATGTTTGATTACAATTTGTGCCAGCATTTTTCACATTATAAGAGTAAAATCGAGATAATGTTGGTCAAAAAACACTTGCTAAATATGGTGAAAAATAGGATCATATTCAAATTTCAAATGCAGATCAATATGGGGCTCAAGAAAAATTAGAACTCAGAGTATAAGTCTGCAGCAGTCCACGTTTTACTTAATAGCAGATCCGAGGGAGTACTTAAAAGCAGATCACAACTCATTAGAAGAAATAACTTATAAGAACTACTTTATCTCCTCTGTAACCCAATGTTCAAATAACAACTGAACAGCCAATTACAGGCACTTACACGTGTTTTTAACCCCTATGTTCTTTTCTACTTAGCATTCTAACAGACGAGACCAACATCTTCCTTTATGAATAACATATCTCCCAGAACCTCACTCCCTTCCTCCTTTTCATACCAAATGTCTTAATATCATTTTGGCTGATTCTGATTTTCTTTTTCCGAAATCGAGCCTAGCCAGTATATAAAACAACAGGGTCCAACATAATTTCTCTAAAATGATGTACGACAATAATAGATCTGAAAGAACTAATAGTGGGAAATTTTTAGTTTAAGAAAATAACTACTCACGTTTACGAGGTGGAAATGAGAAGCAAGTTATGCAATTGATGCGAGTTGCTATTGTGCTTGCTGCTAAACCGGAGGTGGAAATTGAAGTACCAGTTCAACCAAACCGCACTTAACGTCACTTTTTGATGCCTATACCATTGGTGCCCAATTATGGTAGTTGATTTTGCTCATTACCTCGACATTTGCTCGCATGCCTTTTCCGAGCTTCATCGCATGAATTAGGCTGAATTGCTCCTGATAAGCTGCAAACTAAAATCAAAACTCATCAAAAACCCTAAATCAATTAGGAAATCTATAAAAATCATCAGAAATCCTAAATAAAACACCTAAATCCTAACTATTTTATAAAACAAAAAAAAAACAAAAAAAAAAAAAACAGAAAAACCAAAAGAATTTTAAAGCCTTATAACCCAAAAAAATTCCAGATGATTGCCACTCAATTTACTCAAAATTAATAAATGAAATAATTATATAAATAAATAAAGCAAGAAGTCAAGAATAGTTTACATACCAAGACCACTCTCAAGATCTTTCTCATCTTCCCGTGGAGCCTCATGAGTGAGTTGACCTTCTAGATCCACAAAATCTGGATTCAGTCCATGCCTGGTAGATGATCCTACATATCCAAATAATCAGAAGCAAGACTTACAGCATTATTTAGAAATTTTTTTTTGACATAAGCATTATTTAGAATTGAAATAACTAAATAAGCCATCATAACACCATTTACGAATCTATATCTTAAAAGCCATCATAACATCATAACAAAGAACAAAATTATCAGAAGCGATTAAAAAATATTGTATCTCTAAGCAACAACAAAAATCCAGAAGCTTATAGAACAACCGACACAATTTACGAATTTATATCTCAAAAGCTCCACTTAATTAAAATCCTTTAATTTAAATTAGACTGAAAAATGAACAGAGACCTTAACACAATCGTAGAAAAGTAGGCTTTAGGAGTTTCCGCCATTGAAGATTTCACCATCTTCTTTTTCTACTCTTCCTCTCTCTCTCTCCTCTTCAGCATAGCTTTGGCAATTTGCTCTCGGTTTTCACCCAATAGCCTCAAATCGCATCCTCAATACCCTCTAAAGAAAACCAAAAAAATTAAAAATCGTCAAATTAAACCCAATAAACCCAATTTAATTAAGAAAATCAAAAAATGCAAATTGATTACCCATAACAGTCATATCATACTCAGACAATATATCAGCAATATGACTCCTTCGATCCCCTCCTCTAAAGTTAAACACCATAAATGAGGCATCTGGGAAGTATTCCTGTAGCTGTGTTACAATACCAGTAATGGTATTCTGTGTACTCATCTTCATTCAACACATCCGTAGAGAAGCAGCAATCAAACACTGAAAAGGAACAACGATCCAATTGAATGTAAAAGAACAATTGAACATGCTTAACTAAAGAGAAACCAAGTTTCCTAATCCTCATTCTCTTCTAAGCAGAGAAGCGAAAATCCTACACTAATTGAATGCCTTTTGAAATGATAACTACATTAAAAGTTCAGGTTACAGAAAACCTCTAATATCTGCAGATATACCCTAACAATCAGCTCTCCATAGCTAAAACAACGAAAATCATCTCAAGAAGTCGAATGCAAGCGAAAAAACCAGGTCAATTATGCAAGCTACATCACAATGTCAAATGCCAACAACCTAAAAATGACAATGACATAAAAAACCCAGAAATGGAAACCAAAATCTAACCCTAACAACCTCACAGATTGCATCAAACTCAGCATAAATTGAAGCATTTCAAGCTCAATGATCAACAAAATCCAACACTTACACACATTATAACAGAAAATCAAAACCAACCCATTAAACAAAACCCATAATTCAAACAAACCCAGAAATTTATAACCAATTGCACAAATAATTAACCAACATTAAATTCATAAAACTAACCTAAAACTCGCTCAGAAATTTCAAGAAGCCGATCAGGTGGCTTCCAATAGAAGAATCGACGAAACAGCGCCATGGGATGGCGCTGTTTTTCCCAAAATCGGATCCAAAACGATTAATTCCAATGAAACCCAGCCCTAATCCAGATCCAATCAATTGCAATCTAGCTAAATATATACCCAGAATTAAATAATCAAAGCCCTCTTCAAAATTTATCAAATTTGGTGCAAAATTGGATAAAATGATCGAATCAAGAAGAATTCAACAACAATCCCAGAAAAATCAAAAGTCCGGAAGAACCCAGAATGTAATTGAGTATATCATATGAGGGCAACCATATCTACTTTCTTAAACAACCTACAATCACATAAATCCAAAAAAAGACATTAAATCTTCTTCCGTGCATGTCATTGGTACCTTTTATACAAATTTATGAATCTACATAAACATACATCATCTTTACTCAAACCATGTTAAAAAGCCAACCTAAAAAATACCCAATTTTCAAAATCTTATAAAGATGCATGATAATCACAAAAATCTGCAGAATTTAAAACTTAAAATTCAGCAAAAACCCATCAACAAAATTTGCCAAAAAAAAAATCCAATTTAGACCAAATAAGTTGGAAAAAACCCAAAAAATCAAACACAAATCGATCAAATAAACCCCATTTAAAACAAAACGATAAATAAGTTACATTATGCTAGTAGAATCCATTTATACCTTATTTTTGTTGCATTGATACGGAGCCCTCACCCAAAAAAACCAAATAACAAACTTTTTTTGAACGAGATCATTTTATAATGAACTTCTATGGAATACTATAGTTTCATCCCCAAAACACACCAAAAATAAGATCATTTTTTACCATTTTTTCTACTAATAACTAACACATATATAAAACTATAAGAGCATTGGAAAAAATAGCCACTAACCTTTGGATTTGAACTCTTTTTTGAGGAGCAAACAAACTAGATCTACAATGCCTACAAATGATCGAATAAAAAATATTAAAATTAAAAAACTTAGGGTTTATGGTTAATTACTTGAAACTAAATCAAAAAAAAAATAGATGGAAGGCATACCTGCTAGTCAGTGGGTGGTCAAAGTCGTTGGGTGGCCGACGGGTGGGTGGTCTAAGGCGGTGGATCTAGGCGGCTGAGCAATTAAGGGTTAGGGTTAGCAATGTTTTTTTAAAAAGGAAAAAAAAAAGGAAAAACCATTACCTGGTGGTCGGTGGCCGATGCACGAAGGACGGCTGAGGGGAACGGAGGGTGGCCGGCAAAGGGTGAGTGGCGGCGGGTAGTACCTACTCTCTCCTTCTCCTACTTATTTTGTTCGACAAAAAATAGAAATAAAACCAGAACCCTAAAATTACGAAATTGAAAACCAAATCAACGACAAACCCTAGATTGCGAAGGAATTCAGTAGATTAAGAAGACCACATTACCTCAAAGCTGCTTCAATGGAGGTGAGAAAGCTCAGAATCGGCTTTAATGGAGAATATAGAGTACGAGTTCAATGGAGGCCAGAGATATGGAGAGAGAAGGAGGTGCTGCTTCAATGGAGTGAGAAATCTCGTAAACCACTTCAATGGAGAAGGTGAAATTTCGGGATGGTGGAAGAGAAGGCGAAAACTAGAGGGAAAACAGAGAAGATGGAAAAAACGGGGTGAAAGAAATTAAAGAAAGAAAGAAAAGCAGGAGCCCATTTCTTTTGGCACCGATTTTCAAGAACCGGTGCTAAGGGGGGTGCCTATTTCATTTTTTCTACTAGTGTTAGATTTGTCTCGTAACATAAATTCATAATCAACTTTTTTTTTATAATTTTTACTCTTATATAATTATAGATATTTAACATATAAAATGTGTTTTGGGATGCGTATTTTCATCCTTGTTACAATATTTGTGGAACAGAGGAAGTATTATTAATAGTACATTTTCTGTTTATGAATTGATGTTGTACATGATATCGTCACTCTTTATTACAGAGTAATATATAGAAATGTGTTTGAAGCTATCCAATAATTGTAGTATGATCATTGTTTGTTTATTGCCTTAAAAATTTATTTGTAAATGATAGTTATTTATCGAAAAAAAGAATACACTAGAAGATGTCACTTGTCACTATGTCTAATGTGTCTTTTACTATGCATCTTATTTATAATGTGGAATGTAATAAGTTTATCATCTCAATCACATGTTCCAGCAAAAGACAATAAATTATTTTGTATTTACTAAGATATAAATTTATTTAATTACGTAATAACAAAAAAATTGATTAATACTTCACATTTTCCTAGAATTAGACATATGATATAGTTGTCAAACACAACAGTTATTATATATTCATGTAATACTCCATTAGTCTAAGAAACAAAATATTAGAGGTGTTTGAAAAAAAAATTAAAGTGATGTTTTAAAGTAATTTCTTTAATATCAATTATATGAACCAATTTTATTACTTGTATTACTTTTAGGGAAAAATTTCAATAATACTCCGGCTAAAAGATGTCTAGGCGTTAATGATAGTATCTTGTACCTGAACTAGTGACTTTTTCTAAGATTAAAAAAGAGTTAGAATATTATTTTAGATAAATGTGTATGGAAAAATTAAGAACAAGAAATAAGAAGAAATACATTTTATTTAAAGATAGTATGTAAGATTTGAAATATTATTATAGTTGTACTATACAAATTTTTACAAAATAAAAGATTGTTTGCTAAAAGGGGAGGGGGAGATTTGGAGGGAAAAACAGCACCATGAAATGACACGTGTCATTCCTAGTGTCTGTTTTAGTATTATACTAGGTTAGAACCCGTGCGATGCACGGTTTATATAAAATCTATTTTTATAATTTGTACATTTTATTAAAAAAAGGATAAATATAAAAAAGAATTATGCATCTTGTACAAAAATATTTGTAATTTTAAAATTTTAGATTTTCATCAAAATTAAGATATAATACCTATTCAATGTTGCCTAATACATATTTCAATGTAGGATTTCATTTATTAGTGTGTTATTTATAATTTTTTCATTATTTTAGGATAAATTGATAGGTTGTAATTGTAATGAAAAAGTTTCTAATATTCAAATTTAAAAATTGTTAAATATGGTAGCTCTAAAAAAATGACATCATCCTTGCATTTAGGCGGGAAAAAATTACTATGAGAGTGACATGTGAACAGTAATGACGTCAGCAACGGTTTGTTTTAGTAATAGTTAATAGACTAGTATAGTACCTGATTAGGGGATTTTTATCCACCAATCACCGTCTGACAAGTGGACCAACCAGGTTCCGCCACGTGTCCTTCACGAAGGCCAATAGGAGCCTGCCACGTGTCAGTCACAGGTACGTCCTCTACGGACCAATCGAGGCACGCCACGTGTCCACCCATGCCAAATGGGAAAACGGCCATCAAGGCCCAATCCAGTCTAGAGGCCCGGTCAGCCCTAGGTTTACCTTAAACCTAGAGAGTGGCACGCTTCTCAAGGCTATAAATACTTAATTAATCCTCATTAATTAAGAAGAATAGAAATCAAGCAGAGAAGAACAGAAATATTACGGAACACCAACAACCGGCTAATCTCGCTAACGACGCAGATTACCAACACTAAGCACTCTCACCTAGAGAGATCTTATTACTTTAATTTCCGTATTAATTACTCCTTAATCAGGTACTAACTTGACCGTTGGAGGCGGAGCTCTCAGGAGTCTCCGTTATTTTGCAGGTACAGGCGTCCGGTTCCAGTCTCGGAATTGTAACTCTCCCGCAGGACATCAGAAAACCCCGAAACATTTGGCGCCGTCTGTGGGGAGAGTACTTCAGAGATGGCATCCAAGTCTGTACCGACTCCTGAAGAGAGGCGTCCCCTAGACGATCCTCAAGTTCAGTCGGACCATGATACCGAAAGTGAATTTGAAGTTGAAACTCATACAGCTCCAGACGGGACCCTAAGGGCCCGACGTACCCGTCATACCGAAAGGAGGGAACGGGAGCATCTTCAAACAGGAAGCGAGCCAGCAGGCGCACCGCCTGCTCGGCAACAGCCGACTGATGGGTCTGCTCCCATCACAAGGAACGAACTCATGACCTTCATGAGGGACTTCAAGGGAGAGATTCAAGAGTTGATCAACAAAAAACCGCCTGCTTCAGTCAAAGAGCAGTCGGCCAAGAAACCTTCAACTTCACTGAAGAGGAAGCCAGTTCAAGGGCGAGAGGCGACTCCTCATCCTAAATCTAAGAAGCGAGAGCCACCTGCTCTTGATTTCACAAAACTCCGTTATCCTACGGGAAATAGGAAACCGGTTCGTCATATTCAGGCGGATGGGTCAAAGCAAACGTTCACATATGCTCGGCTCCTGCTAGAGCAGAAGAAGAGTGACCGATTATCAGAGTCGGCTTCTACTTCAAATTTTCAAGACAGTTTGCGAAATGCCTCGATGAGGCATACTCAGTCGTACCATGAGAGTCAGTCAGGCGGCACCTCCCGTCAGTCCGGCTTTCATAGTGCCCAGGCGGTACCAAACTTACCATTTGTGCCGCAACAACAGTATTTTATGCAGCCACCTCCATTTGGTGGACCTGCAGCAAAAAACGTCCAACCTATGGACTGGCAGCTACGGCTGCTTAGACTTGGTGAACAGCCATCGGCTTTCTCCAAGGAAATTACTGAAGCCGCTCAGCCGGCCAAAGTAAAACATGTTCTAGTAGGCGCCTATGACGGCACTACTAACCCAGAAGACCACCTGATGGCATTCACCAACCTGATGTACCTTCAAGGGTTGGATGATCCCACTTGGTGCAAGTGTTTCCCAGCGACTCTCAAGGGAATTGCACAGCAATGGTTCGGCAACCTGCCGACTGGTTGTGTAAACAGCTTCAGGACGCTTGCTTACTTATTTGCCTCCAACTTCGCCATGAACATCCCTGCGAAGAAAACGACCCTTGATTTGGGAACAATTCAGCAGGGCGAGAAGGAGGGGCTTCGTTCTTACATCAGGCGGTTCAATCTGATGAGAATACAGATTCAAGGGTTACCGGATGAGGTAGCTTATACTGACTTTTTTAGAGGTCTCAAAGACGGGTCTACCTTCAAATTTGATTTAGTTCGAAAAAGGGTGGCGACTCTTCAAGAGGCCTTGATTGAAGCAGAAGCCTATATACAGGCGACTGATCTGTGTACAATAAAACAGTCGGACGGGAAAAGGTTCGACAAAAGAGAGGGACGACAGAAACAGTCGTCCAACAAAGATGAGAAAAGAAAAGAGGTCTGGGCGGCTGATTCCTCTAAACAGCCGGCCCAGAAAAAGAAAAAAGAATTCAAACCATACTCCCCAAAGTATGTGTTTAACAAGGATAACCAGTTTATCCTAAAAGAAATAAAGGGACGGTTCTCAATTGAGAAGCCGCTCCCCATGAAGGGTTCTGCAAACAACCGGAACCAAGATAAAATCTGTGCTTATCATGATGACGTTGGTCATCACACCAATGACTGCATCAGTCTCATGCGGTACCTAGACCGCTTGGCTGAGCAAGGTGATCTTGACACTTATGTCAAGAAACCTACGGAGAACACTTCCTCAAAAAAGCAGTCGTCCAAAAAGAATCAACAGGCTGACAGTTCTGATACAGATGATGCAGTCGTCTACACCATTGCAGGAGGCTTCTCAGGAGGCGGCCCCACTATTAGGGGCAACAAAGATAATATAAGGCGGTTAGATGTAAATTCCGTTCACCAAGAACGGTCGTCCAAATATACATTTCCTGAGATTGTCATCACTGAAGAGGATCTAGGAGGGGTAAGGGGGCCGCATGACGACCCTCTCGTTATTGAATGTAAAGTGGCCAACCAGAGAGTTGGCCGAATTCTCATAGATACCGGGAGCTCCTCAGATCTCATCAGCAGCAAATGTCTGTTAAAACTGAAATATCAGACGGACTGTATACATCCGGCCTCCCACCCTTTAATAGGGTTTGGAGGAGGAGTCGTCCACCCACTGGGACGAGTAGATTTACCCATTCGCCTGGGCGAAAAAGGGGAAGGACGACACATGGTAGTCCGGTTCCTAGTAGTAGAGGAACTCTCGGCCTACAACATGATTCTGGGTCGACCAACCCTGAATAATTCCAAGGCTGTTATAATCCCGTCTCTTATGCTGCTTAAGTTTGAAAGGGATAATGGAACAGTCGGCTCCCTAAGGGGAGATCAGAGGATGGCCCGAGAGTGCTATCTCTCGGATGTCAAGCCCACTGTTATGGCCACTGGGTCAAGTGGAGAAAAAACAGACCTTGACAATGTCAAGGAGAGTGCGCCTGTTCAAGAAACAGGCGACAAAAAGAGAAAGGCGTCCCAGACAGAGTCCGCAAGAAAAGCAAGAAAATAGCAATCATTGGCAGAGGAGCGGCCGGATGAGTTCCGCCCTCAGCCGGCTGGTGAGCATGCGGACCTGATATTAGACGACTCACGTCCTGACCGAACAGTCAAAGTTGGGACGACTGCTCTGAGAAACCTTGGTGACGACTTTCACAACCTGTTGAAAGAATACAAGGACATCTTTGCATTTGAAGTCCATGAAATGCCAGGCATTAGTCCTGATCTGGCAGTACATAAACTCGCTGTGGATCCGAAAAAGAAGCCGGTACGGCAAAAGAAGCGGAACCATGGCGAAGAAAGAAGTCAGGCGGCAGCCGCCGAAGTCAAAAAATTACTTGATGCAGGGTTCATTCGGCAATGTTACTTCCCAGA